TCGATCTAATCTATCACTGTCAGAAACCCTCACGGGGAAATACATAATTTCCTGGGCATAAAAGAAATGCTAATAACAAGTCGTGTATTTAATACTTTTAAAACATCGTTAACCATATTGTTTCTGTTTTAATGGAAAAAATATAAGCTTTAGAAGAATAATTTGTCAAATTCTCAATTGCAAATTTCAAAATTACCGTTACCATAATAACTTTGCCTCCTTGTTGGCAGCTTGTAGTGTATGGTCCCTTTCCCACCTGAAGGTTTTTTTCCAGCATTTTAACCCCCAAGTTTAACAGCTTGAAAATATATAGCCTAAAGCGTGTCGTAAGTGTAGGGGTTTTTATTAAAGAATCAATTATTCAAAAATATGCTGTGATTGCTGACATCATACGCCACGAAGTACTGTGTGTTTACGCTTTATTATATTAGTATAGATTCAATTATTTTATTCTTTATTTCGTCCGGAAATAAAACAATGTTATCATCAATCGGAGTCACAGAAAGAGAATTTCAAACGAATCAAAATACTTTGTACCTTCAAGTGAACGATCTATGTTTATTTCATTTTCTTTTTCATTGGACGTTCTGATGTTTAGAAAAGGTCGAGAGTTCTTCAATGTTATCATTCATCAGTAAAAGCCTTCCAGAAATGAAAATTCATCGTCCATTCTAATCCTAATATTATAAGAAAAATATTTTTGGAATTTATTAATGAAAAATCTATACTATTATAATAAAGCGTAAACACACACTTCTTTATTGTCTAAGATGTCAGCAATTACAGTATATTTTTTAATAATTATTTTTTTTAATAAAAAGCCCTACACTTACGTCACGCTTTAGGCTATATGTTTTCACACCGTTAAACTTACGGAGTAAATATTTTGGATTAAAGCCCTTATGTGGGAAAGAGACCATATGTTGCTGCCAACATAAAGGAAGCAAGGTAGCCATGGTTTTTCATCATGTCATGTCATTTTGACATTTGCAATTGGCATATTTAAACAATGTAATAAAATTTTCATAATTTTACGCGGATGAAGTCGCGCGGGAACAGCTACTTACTTATATAAAAATTAGTACTTAATTTTTCAGCCTTAATTAAGAAGTCAAGGCAAACTTTGATATCTACAAAAATTAGATCCAGGCTACATTAATTGTGCCAATAAAAAAAATTATGTAGACAAATTAATAAAAGCTCGACTATCAATATTGTAAATTTGGTCAAAAATATTACTTTACTGGCAACAATTTGTCGATTTATTGTAGAAGAAAAAATGCATGCTTCGTTATCTTAGCCGTAGGCATACCAGGCCCCTGTTTTCGCGGGACTCTTGACTTGTTTAAGGTTCATGCATATGCAAATCAACTAACGTGTCTTTGAAGTAAGGGATACAAACCATGCATTCTGCGAACTGAAAAGATATATTACTATGTATAGTTTAAAACAACATACTATCAATATAAAAGTGGTAGAAATTTTACAGAACTCATTATTATTCATCTAACAATTAACATGTTAAAAAATTATGTTAAAATTATTAAGGACCTATCCCACCACTGGCTGATAGAGGCTCAGTTAAAAATGACGTCACTGTCAGATAAGGTAACAAAATCCTTTCCATCACATATTTGGATCACACGTTGGATTGTTATCAGACAATGTACTTTTTGGTAGGACAGACCCTTAATGTAAGACGATTTTGAAACGAATACTCTAAGAAAAAGGGGTTTTATGAAAAATTGTATAGTACTTTAGAAGTTAACTTGCAAGTCGCCAGTAATTACTTTGGCAGTATTTACCTTCTGGACTTCTTTGCTCGCGTGTTGCATGTTACGTTCAAAGCAGAAAATAAAGCTAAGCGTAAATATTTACTTTACTTTTCTTTACAGTAGCAAAATAAGTACTAAATAAAACTTTAGCGAACATTCCAAATTAATAACTTTTCGTATTACAAATCAGAATTTAACAAGATTAATTCCTAAGACGAATAAAATCTATAATCCATTAAACGTTTACTCTTCTACTTGTGTTGGATTCGGGTTATTTGTTTGTTAGTAAAAGACACAATATGACGTTTACTTTTTTGGCTTACCTGGTGCATTTAGTTTGAATTATTAAATTTAAACCATTAGATTTAGTAGAAAACGTCCTCTCAAAAGAATGATTAAATAAAAGAAAAGCCAGTGGTGACGTTTTTGCTCGCGTGCACCGCACCGTCTGTGTTTAATGGGTTTAACGCAAAAAGAAGTGCAATGAATGGTCTTGCTTTTATTGGACTGAAATGAACGAAAATGTTGGATAAATTTTATCACATGTTTTAAAATAATTTGGAAACTTTAACATATAGGTTTATATCTATACTAATAAATGTTATAAAAAGGAAAGATTTGTATTTTTGTATGTATTGAAATAACTCAAAAAATACTGGGCATATTTTAAAAATTCTTTCACCGTTAAAAGGTAATTTATCTGTGAGTGACATAGGCTATATTTTTATTATTTTTTAATTTCACGCAGAAGTCGCGAGGATCAGTTAGAAGTTATTAAACCAAAGATATTAAATTAATGAATAGTAAGTATTAATTATTGCTACTGGAAGTAAACGCTATTAACCCCCATTTGATATTAAACGGTAACATTTTGGTACTGAAATTAGCTCAGCAATAAATACAAGTTTCATATGTTTTAAAGATTATTTCTCTCTAGACACATAGCTATAGGTTTCCATTGTAATCTAATATTAGTAATAGAATGATTTGTAGCAATTTTTTAGAATGAATTCCAATCGAATTTTAAACAAAAATGTAGGAAACGTTTGTTTACATTATCAACACCGCTCCTGGCAACGCTCCAGGTAACCTTACGTCTACAACGTAGACAATAAACGATATTTTTACAACATTCACCCTAAATATAATTAACTGTATTTAATTCCAAAAACATGTTGATTCATTTAAATAAAAAATCTATATTACCATTTATTAGGAAAAACCTATAAAACTATGTAGGTTTGATACCCAACATGTCGTTCCCATTTCTTCCAATTTGAGTTATACTAAATGAGATATTTAAAAACTTCAAATAAATTATTTACAGAATAGCATTTACCCCTGACATTTCCTTGCCATTTCCTTGCCCTGGTCAGTTGTTATAAGTCCATATTTTGAAAGAAAACTATAAATACGACCGGCAACATGATGAGGAGACGACATTGTTAAAGTATAAATAGAAAATATATGTGCGTAGTATCGTGGGTGTTGTAAGAGATGCCAGAGGGTAGTGTCTGATAGACAGACTTCTGAATATATTTACTTAGGTCCTTTTTCTAAAACCCATTAATAAATTTACTAGATAAATATGCATTTTAGTATTTAAGTTAGGAGATATATTAAGTATGACGGTGTTATACATATTTGTGAGCACATGAAAATATTTTCTCCAAAAAGATCTGTTCAATGTATCGAACAACTTAAAATAGGGCATAGCAAATGAACTAAAGGCTCTTAATCTTAAATCCAATTACTTGAATTTACTAAATGAGACCCTTTCATATTTAATTTAAAACTGAAACAAATTAATTATTAGACGCCTACTCAAACATGCGCCGCAATAAATATGCTAATATCGAAATATCGTTTGCTACACCATTTCGTTAGGCGCGCTACGGTCTCATCAAGACCAGCTGGCATCGTAACAAACAGAAGAACTTTTGTACCAGTTTATTAGACTTTTATTTGTTTTATTAATCATTACTATAAGATTTAGGTAATCTAAAATTAATCTAAAATTTTCCCGATTTGCTTGAAGTTTAGATTTATGTAGCTTAAGGTCCTATTTTTCAATTTTACCAGTGAATTCAGGTTCAATTCAGACAATCAGACTGCATAAAAAGCGTTGCAAAATAAATTTTCACTTCAATTGTGAAAAATCCAACGATTTGATTTCAAATGCAGGTCCGGCACTCTAATATCTGTTGGTATCAAAGGCAGCTGCGGCGGTTGCCAACTGTTATTGCAGCAGGATTCATTCATGCGGATACCAAGAGATTCCGAACATAAAACAATTAAATTGAGGTTACCACAGCGATAATTTTGAACCTTCATTTATAGTTTATAATTTTATCGCCAATAAAAAGTCACCAGACGTTAATACAATTTTAATTATCGATAGGACATTCAGACAAACATTCCTTAAAATTAAAAAATAATATTAAAATATGCCTCTGTTACACCTTTGTTACTCCCTGGTAATGTAGCTTTTTAATAGTGAAAGAATTTTTGATATCGGCCCAGTAGTTTTTGAGTTATTTCAAAACATAAAAAAATCCTCTTTTATAAAATTAGTATGGATACGAAGATAGATACAAGCGCAGATAATAAAAGTAAGAACGTAATCTATAAACGATGTTGTATATCTGAAGCTAGAACTATTATAACACCCACAACAATATAAAATGGCTGCGGATTACATCATCAAATACATTTCTATAGGAATAAAAAATATCTTAGGAATTTGTATTATTATTATTATGTAATGTCAACTGCAAAATAGAAGGCATGAGATCCGGGTGGAACAAAAAATTGATACGAAATGTAAATATCAATAAAGCAATATATACATAAAACATATAAGATTCCATTCGTGATATAAGAATTAGAGCAACTAAATAAATTAACATATATGTCCCATTTCAAACAAAACCTATCTTTTTGACCTTTTAATAACTTATGGATTTTCTAAGTGTATTAAATTAATTGCGCTTAAAAGAAAATGTTGAATTAATACAAAGTAATCGGCGTTTCTTGCATCAAATGCTTATGGTCACGCCGAGTGGTCAAATGAAAAACTGTGTCAAACCGAACAGTTGTTGCGTTTACGTCACAGATTATGCTTTTTGCTACACATCGGTTATGCGAGTAGTACTAGGTTCAAGGGAAGCCGGCCAGATTACCGACGTGTTCGTTCACTATTTATAGTGCCTCGCATCTGTTTAGCCGTTGGCTTTCAGTGTACAAATGACCGGAGCCGCGAACGTCCAAAAAATTGCGCGCGGTCCTAGCGATCGCAAACATTAGAACGATGTTAGGCCAAACAACGTGAAGTGTCAATTTGTTAGCAAGCATCGATATTTTTCGATTCAAAGTTGTGAAGTGATCGTCGATACGACTATAATAAATTCATTTTACTATTATAAAGTCATTAGACGGTGCAACTGCGCGCAATACTTGCACACGCGAATGATGCAATCGTTTTCAACATCCACCGTCTCTGTGCACTGTTATATTCAATCATTAAAAGTATTCGTCTGTGATGGTCATCGTGTGCTTAAAAATGTATGCGGAACGGATAGGAGAATCACGTGCTACTAAATTCGTGTGTGTTGAAAAACAAAATTGACATTGGTGCTATTTTCGAGTGCATGCCAAAGAATAGTGATGTTTGGCAAAATGCCAGTATTCATGGCTAACAGCTGATCGTAAACAAACAGATTACTATTAAGTAAACGTTTAATACAGGTTTCCCAAGTTGAAATAAGTTAATCGATATAAAAACAAATGCCGAGAAATAATAAAAGTATATTAAAAGATGGAGAACGAAGAAGATTCTAGTGATAGTAACGGTCCAATTATAGATGACAATGTTATTCGAATTCAACTTCGTAAACCTTCACACAGAAAATGGGAACTACGAACGCGAAATCATTCACCAGGAATCAGATTTCCAACGGTGCAGCTTTTCGACTGCGAAGGAAATCTATTAGTAGAAACAAACGACGAAAATATATCTATTAAAAGTTCCGATTATGAAGAACCTCATTTACGGACTAGTCAATCCTTACGTGAGAAAGATTACAAACATGTTATAAATCATAAACTACCTCGTAAGCACAACACTATTTCAGGTGACAGGGTGTACACTCGTGTATTCAGGACCCCAGTGTTGTTGAAAGAAAACAATAACGTTAGTTATATTGTTAAGAATAATGATAGTGTATGCAACATTCCAAGTAAGCTTACAGTTAATAATAATTTTAATAATCTACATCCCAGCAGTATTGAAACTACTCCGTTTCATTCAGAAGGACCTAGTGAAGCTAGTAGTTACAAAAGTTCAGATAATGAAACATGTGGAGACGATAAAGAAATATTGGTTTGTAACGATTTTAATCATATCAATGGAGAATCAAATAATGAATTGCCTTCGACTGAAGAAAATAAACCACACTTGGTACTACAAACTTCTCAATCTTTCAGCGACACTGCGCTGAGGGAAAGAAAAGTCAACAATGAAATAATACCGCGTTCGAATTCTGGTACTAATTTTTATAACTTACCCCGAAATAAAATTTCCTTCTTGAATACTTATTTAAGAAGTTTAGCTGTGAGACGAGCATCGAGTGCCAATTCTATCACTATACCTCGAACTATGAAGCCTTTAGTATCTTTTGAACCAGGTTCATGTAACGAGAAGTCAAAAAACGTAGAAGTAAAACAGGGAAATGATAAAACAAATGTCTTAAATGCTAGAGATGATATATCTGAAAGTGAATTCATTAACATGTCGACAGATGTCGCCGCTGATTGCGAATTAAGAAAACGATTGAAATTATATAGACGGGGATTGTCAGAAATTGAACAACGTGAACGAAAATTAAGTAGTTCTTCAAACAAAAGACGTTATTCTGTTAGTGATGCGATTCATTTAAGTCGATCATCGTCATCGGAAAGTGTCGATGAAGCTGATGTTGTACTGAATCGATTAAGAAGAAGAATATTTAAAAACAAAACAAGAGAAAAGCATCGCAGTATAGGACGGAGACAAGATGTATGTAAGTAAAGTATTATCAGTTAATTTACAACTGCCTTACTTCAATTGTTTTGTTACATAACATACCCTAATATATCGTCACCTGAGAAATAGACCGATTTTGTATTTCAACGCGAATCAAACGAGGAAACATTTTATGACGAAAACATTGGCACAGGTTAAAAAAGCAATTTAGAAATGTCTGTGTTAAATAACCTTTAATAGTTTATTTCAACGGTAATTTATTTCAATATTTACTACGCGATGACATGAAAATAACTTGGCTTTTAATTGAATGTTATAATTGTTGCCAAAATAATCTATGCCACCACTGTAACGACAACATTGTTGTCCGTAGTTGTTGCCAAAAATTAATAATTCTCTGAACAGACGTGTTAAGTAATTTCGTTTTAGACAGTTTTTAAACAAAACATACGCCTTTTTTAAGATTTTAAGGAACAAAAAATGATTATTACTTTGTGCAGTATTGTAATAAGTACGGGTACTGTAAATATGCCAGATACTGTTAGATTATCCTACGAGATATACTTCTTAGGACAATCTCAGCGTTACCCACGCGTTTATTATTTGTGCTACATACTGACTATGATAGTATCTTTGCGTAATTTTATTATTTACATCTTATAATTTGTTGGTTAATAGTTTATTAATATACAATTTAAATTTTCCATTATTTATTCTGATTTCTAAAAGCGAAAATAATTCTCTTTTAGTAGTAATTATGCTTCCATACCATTCGGTATACCTACTTAGGCAATGTAACTACTTACTAAAGACATGAATTTTAGTTGAAAACAAATAAAATCTTCGTTTCCTCTCCTCAACTTGGTTATTTGATAGTAATTTTTGTTTATAATATTCACAGTAATTATTTTTTACCAAATTTTCGTTTAAAAATAGTGGCATCTATGAATTATCACTACTTTTAAAGTTACTTTCGTTAACAATAGTGACGTATACTCACGCCATCTATGTTTAATATACGACAAAATTTTCCATCTAGCTGCGCTTGCCGACAACTTTCCAAACATGTTGAGTAATGAACAGAGACCTCCTTCGGCGTACGTTATAAACAATGCGAAAGTTGTTTTTTTTGTAACTTTTTTATTATCATGAAAGATTATCATCATCTTGTGCGAATTTTACCTAACGTTAGAATTTTGGAGCTTGACTTTTTCACTTTTTTCTACGTTTTAGAACAGCTCTAAATAAAATTGTAAATATTCTTCTGGTCTGAAATATTTAAATGTTATTGGTATCATTATAACTATACAATAAAACATCGTTTTGTATGTTTGCTGTGCTTATTAATTCATGTTAATTAAGTGAAATTATATGGTTAGCTTAACGTGAAATTAAGCAATATTTATTTTAAACGAACCTTACTTTTTAACAAAAATTCTAATGTAAGCGTAACGTCTTTAGATTAATTAAAAAAAATTATAATAGACAAAACTGAATATTGTGTAGGTATACCAAAACAATGTGATTTTTTTTAATATATTTCAATATTTCTTAGCTTTAAGCTCTTAAATACGCGCGAACATGGCTACGGATATTTTTAGGCTCCATTATAATAATCCGCTAAGTTATTATTAAAGCGTGAACAACAGGCTAATTTTTTCCTCAGGTCAAGGCCGCCCGGGTCGACTGCGACGCTAACGGTGTCTGTCATTAAACTTTTTTGTGTTAGAAACTAACAGCATTTTTTTTAACTAATCGATAAAGAAGTATGAAATGGTAAATTAAATTTAATAAGAGTGTTTTTTCTGTAAAAATAATTTTAAAAACAGTAACACATGCTTTAGTTAATACATGCGCAGTGACGGCGCCGCAAGTCAATATCCTCCTCAGCCAGAGTCGACGTGCCGCCATGACGCGATTTGCTTTCGCGTTTGTAACTCCATGGAAAAATATATAAGTTTATTATATCAAATTCGCTTTAATCAATTTTATTTTTTTTTAAAGATTAATGTAAATCCCTTTTAAAAAATAGTCAATCTATTTTTATACTGTGCTTTAAGTTCACGTACTTTTTACGTATTTGATAACAATATTTATAGATTTTTATGTTTTGAATTTAATTAAAGTATGGTAGAACTTTTTGTAAGAGATATAAAATTTCATGAAAAATGTATAGCCTATATTTTTTGTCAAAATTCAAGTTGTATCATTTTACGTCAGGTCTGAAGTTAGTTGTGAGTTTTGCCGCTAGAGTGGCAGAGATGCCGAACCAGCTGGTCCGTTTTGACAGTGTTCGGTGCACGTCGACTGGTTTGTGTTTGAGTGCCGGCGAGCGGCGCATTCCTGATTCACGTGTTTATCAAAGGATAATATTTCGATTTTTGACCTCCGCAACTTTCTTAGTAAACTTTTATGTAACTTGTGAAAGTTCTATAACAAAGTGAACGGTGACTATAGAAATGGAGCGATTTATGCCAACTGCGTTTGTTTGATTTAAGAAATAGTTTTGTTCCGTTGTTTTGTGTGAAAAGTATTAGTCGCATTGTAAGCGTCCAAAGTAACCTTTACGCTGTGACAGTTTATTTGTTTTGTTACCTTTTGAGACATTACCAGCGGGCACTAAGAAAAGAAGGTAAGAACAAATTATACGTCTTATAAGAATTATAATGTCAGTTTAAGTAAATATTAGCCAAATTAAACTAATTAACTTTTAAGTGTCGTTACTTTTGTATTAATAACATAACTTTTGAAACACGAAAATGTGTATGTTTAATTTAACAAAGGTCTTATAGGAAATTTGTAGAAAAATAATAAAGTAAAATGATAAATTGATTTAATAATAAACGTATTGTGTAAAAGTCTCGTTACTTAATTGTACTTTAATAGAATTGTAATACCTTTCTGTCGGTACAATTTTTAGAATAACATAGAAACAGAAATAACAATATAACCTTAAAACCATCGCGGTTGGCTCAGAAATTTTACCTGAGTTGGGGAGGACGACGTAACGTTATTTCTTGTATGTGGGTGTGTATTTTTGTGAAAATAAATGTGAAAAACAAAAGATATTTAACATTTAGTTTTAATTAGTAAGTTGATTTTATATTTAAATATTACTATCAAAGAATGTAAACGAAAAGTTTTATAGAAGATTGTTGATTTGACTTCCGGGAACGAATCTCAAATACATTATGCGACACGCACCTATTTACATCGTAATTTTCGCCAGTATGAAATACCTACTACTGCGTGTACGTAAATTTAATGTACTGTTTGGGTTATAATGAGTCACCCGTACTATACATACATAGCAACTATGTTTGCATTCACAAGTTTAATGAACCAATAACTTTGAGGAGGTTTCAAGAAAAATCTACAGCCAGATATAGTATTTTTAGTCTGTTATTTCACGCTTGATAATCACACACGTATATGTAACAACTAACAATAATATATGTTACTAGCCTAGACTGTATACACAAGAAAGATAGATCGTAGAAAATCTTGCTAGTATTCTATGAGGTCCTGGTATTTCATGGGTCAAACTGAGCAAGAATGATTTGCATTATCTCATTTATATCATACTAATATTATAAATGCGAAAATTAAGGTGGATGGATGGATGTTTGTTAGAGTTTGTAGCCTAAACGGGTGAACGGTTTTCGATGAAATTTGGTACAGTTGAAGAGGATAGTCTGGAAGAACACATAGGCTTATACCTAAAGAAATCTGCTTCCATTCCCAGATGAAAGTGTATCATCTCATAATTCGAATACTTTGTTTACTGTCGAATGAAGTATGGAATTCAGTTTTAAAAACAAACAGGACGTAGCAACAATACTTGTAAACAAACAATGATTTAACAAATACTTAGCCCACAATGATTTATTGTTTTTACACGATCCAATCAGTAAACAACTATGTTATAGCCGTCATTGTTTTTTGAATTAATGAAATAAATTAAAACAAGAGAAAAAGTCACTGACATTGAATTAAAAACAAACTTTAGAGAGAGTAAAATATCTAAAGATTTCGATACACTCGAAATAAATCTTCGGTTCTTGATTTATATATTAAGAGGTTACCAAATGATATTTACGTCGTCAAGGCGGGGTCAAAATTGTAATATAAAGTCATATATTTTCAAACACTATTCTACAATCCCTAGAGACCCGTGTAGATAACATAAAAATATTTCCCCGTCAATGTATCTTGTATTATCCCATTATAAGTACAAGCTATACTGATGTGTAATTTGTAATGCCAAAAAAGAAATATCGATATAATTACCGTTATCAAAACATTAACTCTTCTTCGCTGCTATGTTATTATTAATTACAATGTCTTATTTAGGTAGTAAATAGTTTTAAATTGGTATCTGTAGCGTTGTGATTAATCCTTAGTTTTTACAATATTTGGTCTTTTTCAGATACCCAAGTGAGGTAGACGTTTGCGATGTAGTATTTTAAAGGATAGTCGATAAAAGCTGACTTATTTAACAAAAAAATGAATGAATGTATCATAACTACATCTATCTCTTTCTATTTTTTGAGTTTTTGTAACTGCTTTCTCACGTGATGAGGATCACTGCACACCCTTCTAATCAACGAAGCGGTTACTTCACATTTTTGTATGACTTGTATGGAACAGAGATGGGTACACCGTGTTAAATAGTAGAATCTTAATACAAGACCCAATAGACAATCGAGTCACCATCCGAAAAAATATTTATGTATGAAAAACCAATACAAATTAAATGTTTAACATCGACTGTCCGTCTCTCATGACCGACATTACAAAGTAACAGTTCACTTATAATCCAGTTTCTAGAAAATAAACACGCATGTCTCTTTGGCACATTTACACTTAATTATCTACATTTAAGTAGAGAAAATGTTTACTAGTAATGCTCAGCCAAATCATTATCTACACTAATATTATAAAGAGAAATATTTGTATTTTTGTAGGTATTGAAATAACTCATAAATTAAGGGGACTATTTAAAAAAATTACCATTAAAAAGGTACATCAGTGAGT